GGCCGCCGCCTCCGTGTACCTGCGGCATCCCCGCGTCCCGCGCCGTCCGGGGGGCCGGTGGGGGCCGGGAGCAGGGTTCCCCGGGCATTCTCGGGAGGAAAAGCTACCAAAGCCGACCTGGAAGGTGCCCTGTACAGTCCGCGGTGTGCATTCATTCGCTCTACAAATGCCGAATGCCTACTGCGTGCAGAGATGAAGAAAACTCCTGCCCTCGCTCAGCTTGCTTGCCACAGCTTGAGGTCGGGAAGATGGGGAACAGGATTTCTCCCAGGAGGTGGGGAAACCCAGGGTGTTCTAGGACTAGGTGGAGCCAGGAGGCCCAGGGGGAGGGAAGAGCAGTCCTGGTGGGCCTCACATCCCCCGGACTCTGATTCTCTCAGAAGTGCCCCTCTGATGTGCAGAGTGGGGGGACAGGCCTGAGAGGGTGGCCGGGGGTGCCTGCTGCCCTCAGCCTCTGAGAGGAAGATGGTCCCAGATTGGGGCACCTGGAGCAGACAGCCCAGAACTGAAATCTAGAGGTTGGCAGCAAACCAGGGCAGAGGGGCTTTCCAGCTAAGTGGGAAAGAGCTAGGAGCTCTAGTAGGTATTTATTTATCCCACTGGCACCATATAGCGTCAGACGGTTTACATTAGTCATTTCATCTAATTCTCCCAGCAACCCTGTGAGCTAAGCCATATGCCCCGCCCGTTGCACCGATGAGAACATTTCGGCTCAGAATCGCTCCATCAGGGTCACCCAATAGGGTGTGACCGGGCTTGGTTTCGAGTTCAGGTGGATGGGGCTCCAACCTGCAGGTCCTTTCAGTGGCCTCTCTACTTTCATTTTCTGTTCCTCTGAGTCAGTTAATTTCCTCTAGGCCTCAGGAAAGAGCTGTGTGTCTTGCTTGGATTTCCACATTCTCAGGCTTGGGGAGAGTTTGGCAGAACTCACTTATGTGAGATACCAGTGTGCCCAGGTTGTAGTAAGTCAGGAAATGTCCGTCCCACAGCTTCCCCTCCAACCTTGGTCTTCACTGTAGCCAGAGAGCCACAGATGATACTGGAACTAGGACTTGGAGTAGCAGATGCTTCTGGTTGGGGTAAAGGTAAATGAGGGTCAGATACTTTGGGCAGAAGCAGTTTGTTGGCATGAACAGAGATGGAATATGGGCTAAAACCTAGGAAATGGGGGACAGGACTATGTTTACATATTGAGGGGCAGATAAAGTTTGGGTGGTCCATGATGTTAAGGGATCCCTTCCCAACCGTGGATGGGCTGTGGGAAGCTTTCTCTCTGCCTTTGTTTACACTAGGGTCTCTCAACACCATCACCATTGACATTTTGGGCCAGATAATTTTTTATAGGATGTTCATGAGCATCCCTGGCTTCTGCCCACTAAATGCCAGTAGCATCCCCTATTTGTGAAAACCAAAAATGGCTGTAGACATTGCCAAGGGTCTTCTGGGGGAGGGTGGGGGGGTAAAGTTTCCCTTATAGAGAACCAGTGGTTCACACCCATTCTGTGTTCCAGAGGATATGACCTGCCCTTGAACATCTTTGTATCTTTTATTTTCTCCCCCCCAAAAAAGGTGTGTTGTCCCACAGGATGGACCCTGAAAGGGAGAGGGCTCCTTGGTCAAATAAGTTTGAGAAGTACTGCGTGCTGTGGGCTCACACCCTGGAGGTTCATGACCCACAACAGCATATTAAAGACTTGGGAAGTCCTGCTGTGGAGAAATCTGTTTAGCCTAGTGTTCCCCAATGCACTTGACCATGGGACCGTTTTCCTGTAACTATTAACCTTGCATGAGACACACTGTACACATTTGTCTGACTGGGCCCTCTGCCTTGGTGCCTCTCCCCTTCTCTGCAGGGTGGGCTCCTTTTATTCCACATGGTCCAGCTCATTGTCACCTTCCTCGAAGCCTTCCTGCTGTCCCCTCCTCTCCTTCCCTGTTATGTCTCTATACATTGTCCACATAATCACAGCCCTGGGTCCTCCATTGCTCCAGTGAAGTTCTCGAGGGGTAGGCCCTGTCTCAGTCAGATGTGAATAGAGGGTGCTCAGGAAAGGGCTGTTGGGAGAATTCAGTGATGTCCAGGTGATTGGACATCATTTCTAGTAAGGTGAGTCCCTCCTGTCCCCTTGTTTCTCTGCTTGGTGTATAGACTTCTGCTTTGCAATGGCCCGAGTCATTTCCCTCCTCTCACCCTGGGATGGAGGAGTCTGCCAGGTACAGGGTGATGCCTTTGCTGCCAAGAGCTCTGTAAGGACACACTGTCATGCTGGACACTTAGCGGATGCAAGGGAGGGACAGGGGGAGGGAGGGTTTTAGGACCTTGTGACTCCAGAGAAAGGACTAGAGGATAGAGGTTAAGTGCCATGGTTTCCAGGCTCCTAAGAGAGTTGACTTCCAAGTTCTAACATCTGGAAGCAGTGACCTTCATCTCCCCTTGACCTGGCACCTGCAGAGCTGTGTGAGGCTAACACCGGCCAAGTCACTTAAAGCACTTAGCATGGGACCTGACATACTAAGTGCTCCATGAGTGGGGGCTCTGACTTTACCGGCCTCTGCCCCGTTGGGAACTTAGGACAGCTTATGCTGGGGCAGGGGGAGGTGGCTGAAGTAGGGGAGACTAGGCCAACCACCCCCTCACTGTGTCCTTCAGGAGCTGGAGGATCTTCAGAAGGAGCTTCCCCCGTACCTGTGCGACCTGTCCAGCAGTGACGCGGATGTCCTGGTGTGGCACGCACTCCTCCTGCCCGTGAGTGTCTCTGGGAGCCTGGCCTGGGGTTGGGGTGACTTAGGCCAGGGGCCTGGGCAGGGGTGGTTAGGACTGGGCAAGAATTTTCCCTGACTTAGAGTTCTTTTATTTACTGCCTCTGTCATTGGTAGAGGGGTTGCTTCCGAGGTTGAGGCAGAAGAGCTAAAAGACTTTTGGACCTTAGTAGGAGACTCCTTCCTCAAACCAGGAGCTACCAAACCCGCCACAGAAACTTCAGCAGACACATGACATTAAAAAAAAAAAAAATCTTTTTTTAGTAGCAAATTTATTTATTTTTAAAATTTATTTAGTTATTCTTTCAATTACCGATTACATTCAATATTATTCTGTATTAGTTTCAGGTGCACAGCATAGTGTTTAGACAATCATCTACTTTACAGTGTTCCCCCTGATATTTCTAGTACCCACTTGGCACCCTACAGAGTAGTATTGACTGTATTCCCTATGCTGTACTTTACATCCCCGTGACTATCCCGTAACCACCAACCTGTACCTTTCGGTCCCTTCACCTTTTTCACCCAGTCTGCCAGCCCCCCTCCCCTCTGGCAACCATCAGCCTGTTCTCTATGAGATTGTTTCAGTTTTGTTTGTGTGTTTATATCCTTCAGATTCCACATATAAGTGAAATCATATGGTATTTGTCTTTGACTTATTTCACTTAGCATGATACCCTTTAGCTCATCCATGCTGGTAAGATTTCATTCTTTAAAAAAAAAAGATTTCTTGGACCTTTGTCAAAGGGTAGGGGTAAACTTCCTGTTTCCCATGGTTGGTAGCGGGTAAAGAGTAGTTTCCCCAATTTTGCCAACCTCAAAGTGTCCTCCAGACATTTGTTATATCAAGACAGTCAGCGAAGCTGACATCTACAGAAGCAGCATCGGTAAACGGATGTCAAAATAAAGCACATTTCACCCAATATCCCTAAGGGCCGGGGATAATGGACGCAAAAATGAGTGCATTGAACTGAGAATACTTTCTCCAGGAGCCCATCCTCCAACAGTGGTGGTGCTTAATTACAGTGGAATAGTGTTATTCAGATTTCAAAGCTTGCAGATAAGATGCAAAAGTCACTTAGCCTTCTGTGAGGCCTCACCTTTGGCCAAGTCTCTGTGTCCTGGGTCCCAGCCCCTTGTTATCAAGAACATAAATGCTGAGACATTTTATCTGCTCAGTAGTTGTCCCATCTCTTATTTCAGACACACCCAAGACCACTATGGCTCCTGTTTTGGCTTCTGCTAAGGAAGAGGAGCTCTCTTCATACCCTGACTGTGCTTAAATGCATATGTAATTCTTTGTCCTGTCTCCTCAGTAACAAAGGTTCTGTAAAGCTTTGGCACCAGTATGGACTGGGCTCACCCAGGTTCTGGGGTTCCTTCTGTCTCGGGGTGCAGAGTGTTCATGTTTTGGAGATGTAGAGTTGGCAGCGCTGGGTTCCCATTCCAGAACTGCCACTGTGGCCCTGGGCAAGTTACTTACATTGAACTTGAGTTTCCTCTTCTGGAAATGGAAATGCTGATAGTCATGAGTTTTCACAATACTTACCATAACAGCTGACACATGCGTAGTGCTTGTCACGTGCCAGGCCCTGTTCTAAGTTCTTAGCATAAATTAACTCGTTTAATACTCACATAAGTCCTATGAAGCAGTATATTATTATTCCCATATGGAAGCACAGAGAAGTTAAGTTACTTACCTAAGGTCACTCAGCTAGTGAGTAGCAGAGACAAGAATCACATGCAGGCAGCGTGGCTCCAAAGTCCATGTAAACCCTACACTCTGCTACGCGAGTTAATATGTATCAAGCCCTTAGCACAGGGCAGCACAGAGTAGGTGCTCAGGCAGACCTTCAGGGTGCTCAAACTCTGGAGGGTTTCCTTCTGGGTCCTAGCAGCCTCCAACCCTTGATCACTCCAGCCCCTGTGTCCATCCTTCCCTCCCTCCCTCC